AGACGTTAATCATGTGTCTAAGTGTGTGTGTACATACATAAACATTCCACACAAGACATTGATCCAGAGAGTCGCCAGAATGTAAACAATAACACACACACACACACACACACACACACACACACACACACACACACACAGACACACACACACACGGCTGGTCACCTCGTAGCATTACCAGCAATAATTGTTGATTTAATTCAGATTTACTCCACTAGTGTAAATAAGACAGTACAGTGCATCAAGACAGTGATTCAGTTTATTTTGTAGTTTATGTATTGAGGGACACGATACAGTAGAAAGGAAATGGTAGATAGAGAAGTAGATGATTATGAAAGGAAATGGTAGATAGATAGACAGGAAATGGTCAATAGGTATTTAAGAACGACTCGTAAACAGAATTAATGTAACACGTGTTTTCCTTATTATATTTGGGGTAATAAATAATTAAAAATAAAAAAAAATTGATAAAAAGTGAAGTCCATTAATACCAACTGCCTGTGTACTTCATTAATATCAGTAATTATTAAATATTGACCAAAATTATAACGTGATGGTAATGGCAGCTCATTGGTTGGACATCATTTACCTACAGGTGAGTATTGTATGATATTATTATATACCTACATGTGACTGGTGATGGTGGTAGTGGTGGTAGATGGTGGTAGTAGTGGTGATGGTGGTAGTGGTGGTAGATGGTGGTAGTAGTGGTGATGGTGGTAGTGGTGGTAGATGGTGGTAGTAGTGGTGATGGTGGTAGATGGTGGTAGATGGTGGTAGTAGTGGTGATGGTAGATGCTGCTAGTAGTAGTAGTAGTAGTAGTAGTAGTAGTAGTAGTAGTAGTAGTAGTAACTGTTCAACACATATAATATATCGTGACCACAGCTGCATATAAGCTTTCAATAGGATTCAAAAGGATTTAAATTCCAAGTTCACTAATTTCCCAGCCCTTACCTGCAACCGGGAACAAACCCAAATTTATATACAGGCAACTCTTAATGGTACTTACCTATCAATACCTTCTAAATATAATAAAGATAGGCTCCGGTTCTGCTCATCTGCACTTGGCACCATTTTGACACCCCTTGACACACCCCCATGACACCCCCCTGACACCCCCCTGACCCCCATGACACCCTTGACAACCCCTACCCCCCACGTCCCAGCTTCACTAGAACAAATCAACCACCATATATAGGTAAAGAATGGCAGGTAATTAAAAGACCCTGTTAGCCTTTACCTGAAGATTTATGGGGAAAAACTTGGGGCAGTGACGCACGGTGTTGGGGATTTCAGGGACCTATCGCAGGGGAGAGTATGTTAGGAGAGGCCCTAGTGTGTGTGTGTGTGTGTGTGTGTGTAGCCCCCCGGCCGTACACGCTGGTAGGATCTGTCCCTGTCATATTTTTTTTTTTTTTTTACTCTGTGGCTTTCATACGCCATTTGGAATTCGAGTAGTGTTTTTGGGTCGTTCGATAACTACCTGTGCACCTATATACCGTTGTTAAGAGTATACCGTAGTTTCTTCTTGATATACCTTACATTGTTATATACTTTGTTATACTTACAGGTATATGGTTAATCATCTGTCCATCTGTCTGTCTGTCTGTCTTTGGTGTTTGGGGCTACAGGAATTTATATACACCGAAAGCCAAACTCTCTCTCTCTCTCTCTCTCTCTCTCTCTCTCTCTCTCTCTCTCTGGTAGGATGACCTAACACGCTTCCTACTATTTTAATGTTATTCCGCCTGTGTATAAAAGTGTATTGTAGCGGTGTTGTCGTTTCTGAGTGTATATATGAATTTTGATGTATGCTGCTGTAATGGTGGTTAGGTTAGGTTAGGTTAGGTGGAGGTTTGGTTTGGTGTGGTGGAGGTTGGGTTAGGTTAGGTTTGATTAGGTTAAGTCAGATCAGGTCAGCATAAATTACGTAAGGTCATATTAGGTCAGGTCAGATTAGGTCGAGATACACCACATCATATATGGAATTCAATGCGAGAAGCACCAGCTAACGTCACGGAAAGCAGTGAACCAATCATCGTGTACCATTCCCCCAAACGCGTAGATTCTACTCACTCTCGCCAGGGCAAAACTTCACCTCCACTTTGTTCTGTTTACATTTAATCACGTCATCACTTTTTCCTCCTCTCCCCCTCTCTATCTCTCTTCCTCTCTCTCCCTTCTTTTTACCTCTCTCTCTCTCTCTCTCTCTCTCTCTCTCTCTCTCTCATTCCTTCTATCTACCCTCTCCCACCTTCCCTCTCATTCTCTCTCATTCCTTTTTTTCTACCTCTCTCTCTCTCTCTCTCTCTCTCTCTCTCCCCCCTTCTCTTTTGTTTATTGCCTGTACATGGAATCACTTCTTCATTTCCAGGCATTGATTTGTGTGGCTATGTCCTTCTGTTCGCTTTGTCTATTTGACCAAGGGGGAGAGAGGAGAGGAGGCAGAGGAAGAGAAGGGTGGGAGGAGGGAAGAGGGAAGGGAGGAGGACGAGAAAGGAGGAGGGAACAAGAGGGAAGAGGGAGAGAAGTAGGGAACACGAAGGTGGGGGAGGAAAGAGAAAGGGAAAGAAGAAAGGAAGAAGAAGGAGGAGGTAGCATTATATTCTTCCAGGTCAGAGAAAGATGGAACCAGGAGACGATGATAAAGGAATGGATAAAGACAGATAGATAGATAACAACCGGAAGAAAGATAAAAACAAAACACAAGAGCTTACTAAACATTTGGACTGTGTGTGTTAGAAGTAAAGGTTTGATTAATAACTACCATTCGTTCCAGTTCTTAGTGGTTAATGATGGTGGTGTTGGTCCAGGGAAGATGAATGGGACATGGCCTTCCTCCCCGCCTTCCCCAAGTTAAATCGAGCAATGGGCCGTGTTGCTTTTAATTTATTCGTCTTTGTTTTGGGGGAATTTAACCTAACCTAACCACAATCGGATGTTACTTGTTGTTAAATTCAATGATTAAAAACTGATGATGTTGGTGAAGGTAGAATAAAATTTGTCTTTTTTATAGAATTTTATCTGAGGTGTTGTTCAGGAAGAGTTACCAGACACCTCTATGTGAAATAACTCCCTTGAATTAATCATATATAACGAAGTTATTTATTCAGAGCTAAAATGTTCTCATGTCTGTCTGTCTGTATACTCCCTTCACTGACCACCTATTAATATTAGCTGGTAATTTAACTAGTAATTTAGACTATCATACACATCCTTGGTACCAATGGGGCAAGTAATTGAGTCTTTGTAATCGATTACAGCAAATAAGTATGTTTTCCAGTAATCTACCTTGTAACTAATTACTTTTTCTGGATAACAACTTTTTCTCGTAATCAAGTAAATATTTATCAATAGTAACTACTTTTTTACTTCATTATTTTTGTTAACAAACTACTGCAGTATGTTGTGGGGTATGGGTTGTCTGGGTTCACACTCAGGATGGGATGGAGAAAGGAAACTCACAATGTGCTCTCTGTATACATGTTGTATTGGATGTACAATGCAGCTTGGTGCTGGGAAGTGGCAGCGTGGTTACAAGCGTGGTGTAGAGAGAGCTGGTTGGTGAGGATGCTCAGAGGACAGCTTGTGGGTCGCCATGCTCGCCAGCGGGAGCGAGGGCCGCCAGGCAGCGGCGGAGGAGGTGGTGTTGCTTGCTGCGGCTGTAGCTAGAAGAAGAGAGGTGGTCACCACGAGGCCAGGTCTTTTATAGCGGAGGTAGGCGTGGGTAGATAGTTGACCCCCGCTCCGTGGGCGGCGCTGGTTGACCTAGACCACGAGGCATACACTGGGGAATTCGCGGGGTGGGCTACTCAGCGATAAACAACGTTTGTAGGGGAGGAATCCACTACAATGTAAGAACTTTTTAATGTTTTCTTGGATTTTTTATTTATGTTCTAAAGCTGTTTATCCTCTATATTAATGATAACCTAACCTAACCAGACCCAACGTTACTTAACTGATCGTACAAGAAGCGGTATCAACAAAGTAGTATTTCTTCACTTACTGACATATAAATAGTGTACTACTTTTGGCGCGTTATCCTTTAAGAGTGAAATATTTATATTTTCGTTTTCTGTAACTGATTCAATAGTTGTGGATGACTTTAGCAAATTGTGTTTAATGTGGATACTACATTGTGAGGGGCAGTAGAGATGAGATTGTGGGTTATGGGATTTTTGGGTTCACACTCAGGATGGGATGGAGAAAGGAAACTCACAATGTGCTCTCTGTATACATGTTGTATTGGATGTACAATGGAGCTTGGTGCTGGGAAGGCAGCGTGGTTACAAGCGTGATGTAGAGAGAGCTGGTTGGTGAGGATGCTCAGAGGAGGACAGCTTGTCCGGCTGGATAAGATTATCCTCGGGCTTCTCACAGTCCTGGAGGGAAACTCCATCAACTTCACTAGTCTCTTCTACCTCTGTGCTGCGGCTCATGCTACGGGTCACAGCACACGTAGGGAACAACCCTGGAAAGTGTACTTCTAACTGCATAGTATTATTCTCGGCAGTGGGACAAGATGAGACCATAACATTAGGGAACATCATGTCCCCAACTAGGTCATTTCCTATCAATAGAGAGACCCCTTCTACAGGTAAGCTATCTACTACTCCTAACATGACATAGCCTGACTTTATGGATGACCGCAGGTACACTTGGCAAAGGGGAATATGCGACCCACCGGTCAAACCGTTCACAAACACCCAGCTACCAGTATAGCATCTATAATTTACTTTAGTTCCCCCAAGAATGAAGTAACATTATCTTGTTAATCTCGTGAAATCCTTACGTTTTTCATTTGACACCAAAACCTTATTTTATTTTCATAGACTCAATTACATGCTAATATAGTTTTATTTAAAGGTAATAGATGATTATTCAAAAGCTGGCTATATATTTTCAGCGTAAAAAAGTAACAAGGAATCATAATTTTAGAGCTGCATATGGAGGTGAGCGCTATCTATGAGTTAACAGTGTCACTAAACCACCATCACGGGTTACAGGGGAGAGTGTCTCGTCTGGAGATAATTCTGGGAGTGAACAACCACAATCGGCGAGGAAGATACGGGAGCTGTGTTCAAAGGTAATATTGATTAATCACTTTATTTGTCCGTGTTTTTAGCGTAAGATTAGTTTAAACAGGTTAATTATGATTGATATGCTGCGTAGTTGATAGGGTTAGGTCGGCAACACTTCATATGGGTGAGTTTTTATCAATTAATGTCATTATTTACCTATGTTGTGAAGATAAAATTTCATTTGTTGCCACTATACGAAATCAAAGTCGAAATTGGTTAAGGTCATCTCGTACCCAAGACAACCTGTACCCATATATTTATATAGGTACGAACTGTCTCATAAATTGGGTACAAGTAATTGGTTACGGGTTGACATGTTGTGGTGGGTCCAGCAGTCGAAACTGTTTTTCCCATGGTTTTTGAGGTGTTATGAACGAATTTGACCTTCATTTCTGGCGCAAATGAATAGCTTCTGCATTTGCATGATACTGAACACGAAAATGGAAACGAGAATAAACAGAGCCCAACAGAACATCACTTAACCAACCTAACCAAAGAAACCTAACATAACCACTTGAGAAATTTACGCATGCACAAAAAATTTACATAATGTATAAAAATACCAATACCACCAGAAATAGTTTGCAGATTTGTTTCATTTTTTCACAACTTGTTCTAAGCATTATAGGAAGTATTTTAAAAGAGGCAATATTTATTAGAACCTAACCTAACCAACCAAAGAAAACTACCTAACCTTACCTTACTTCCTAGCCAGACCAAAGAAACCTACCTAACCTACCTAACTTCCTAGCCAGACCAAAGAAACCTACCTATCCTTACCTAACTTCCTAGCCAGACCAAAGAAACCTACCTAACCTACCTAACTTCCTAGCCAGACCAAAGAAACCTACCTAACTTCCTAGCCAGACTAATTAAACCTACCTAACTTTACCTAATTTCTTAGCCAGAGGGCAAACTCCCCACCATATTAAACAGAAAATACTTATTTTGATATCTGGTACAAATGAAAGCAACTTTATTGAAGCATCATTATGTAATTTTATGTTTTTTGTGAGCATGAGAGTATGCTCGGACCGACTGGGTCATTTGTAAACAAGCAGATGACAACACATGCTGACTCGGCAGATTATTTGGAGGAGTATTTATAGTAAATAAATATAATTTCATCACGTACAAAACACATAGACATAATTTTAGTGGAGTGTGATAAGTTTTTCAGCGTTTTACCCTGCAATTTTCCTCATCCTTCAGGCCCTGCCCATTACACGTGATTTATGGTTGCAGATAGAAATAACAAATACTTATAATTAAAGCAAAAAGTTTTTGTCTCCTGAAAAATACTTACTAATGTATAATGGTAAGAACATATGTGGGAAAAATTACCCAAATCGAATAGCACTTTCCGGTGGTAGCGGTTTCCTCATAAATTACCAAATTTTACCTTGACACATTCAATCAACTTGTGACCTCAACACAAAAACAAGAAGAGCATTACTGACGAAACTCCGAAAACACGAAAAAAATAAAAGATCATAAATTTTTCCTCCGCCATAGGTGAAATAGGGTAATGTTTTCTATATTATTATGACTTTCCTGGGTTAAGAATGGTTAGGTTAGGTTTATAAAAGTCTGTTTGGTGTGGTTTTTATGTGATTTATCCCCACGTTTTCCCTCATCTTCAAATCATGGAAAGTATCTCCTTAAATAACCATTAGCGGCAGAAAATAGGACCGTGTTCATTCAGATCACCGTATAAACATAAAAAAAAACACCTATTCTTATTGTGGCCCCAAACAAATCTTTATCATATTTTGTGTTTTAGTTTTAAATATAAGTTATGTAGTGAGAGATGAACGGTGTTGTATTAGATGTATATTATGAAGTGGACATTTTGTTTCTTGTAGCATAAAATATAAGTTAGATAAGATAATTTAGATTTGGATGACCTTTGTGTCTGAGCAGTGAGTTGGGGTCCGACTAATTACCCAAATGTACCCAAATGTAGCCGCAATGAAGTCAAATAATGGTCCTACATGAATAAATCGGACTGCCAATCACTTCTCGACTGGTATTTGGTGTCACAAAGTCACAAAAAATTGGTAAACTTATCTGAGTTAATAGATCGAGTGCATGTACCTAACCTAACCTAACACAACTCAGATTAAATTAAATTTACCAATTTTTTGTGACATTATGACACCAAATAATAATCGAGAAGTGATTCACAGCCCGATTTACGCTTCTACGACCATCATTTGACTTCATTGTGGCTACATTTGGGTAATTCCTCGCTCCCTCGGTACATGCACGCGATCTATTAACTCAGATTAAAGTAAGTTTTCCAATTTTTTGTGACTTTGTGACACCAAATACTAGTCGAGAAGTGATTAGCAGTCCGAATTATTCATGTAGGACCATTATTTGACTTCATTGCGGCTACATTTGGGTACATTTGGCTAATTAGTCGGACCGGTGAGTTGTGGTAAGCTGTCGGTGCTGTGTGGTGAGCCGTGTGAGCCATATGTTTGGTGATGAGCTGTGTGTGGTGAAGAGCCGTGATTGTGGTGGTGAGCCTTGTGTGGTGATGAACTGTATCTACCATTATTATTGTAGGGGAACTGTAATTTTTCTTGGCGAATAAGGGAGGAGGATGCATTACAAATATTGAATGGGAGTGTTAAAATGTGAATTGAGGATAAGCGGTGTTGCAAGTAGTGAGGTCATCCTGTACTGTATACCCTTTCTTCCCACAGATAGTGCAGCCAGGTGTAGGCATCACCTCTCCTTGTTTATGACACTTTTTGGGATGGCTGGGTGATGGCTGTGAGATTAATAACTTGTAAGTATGATTTATTGGGTCATTATTTATAACTTGTAAGTATGATTTATTGGGTCATTATTTATAACTTGTAAGTATGATTTATTGGGTCATTATTTTTATTATTTGTTGACTTAAACATATTTACTAATACAGTATAGTATATCAGAATAAATAATAATATATATTGCAATGATGGAGAGTTTATTTGTAAATATTGCTGAAATAATTAAATCTGGATAAGATGCAAGTTTAGATGGATAATGTAGGCTATATCTATATCATTTGAGGAGAAACTGTATAAAGAAACTGGAATACCTGTATTGCGAACTTGCTGAGGAACGTGATGTAAGGAAGTTTGAACTACAGTTGAGAGATAGGAAAAGATAACATGAGGAAAAATTAAGTACTGGAGTTAATGTTAAATATGAAAACATACCAAGTTGTGACCCCTTGTTTTGTCGGTTAAATATAAATGTAGAAAGTTCACTCGTTAACTATTTTCCTCTTTTCAGATTGGCGTGGAGGTGTAAGAATAAGGATTTTCAAGCTTCAGCGGAAGACAGGGGACACAGGTTACGTAAGGGTTTAAATTTTGTTCAGTACCAAATTGAAACTAAACTTTGTCTAGCCAAACTTAAACCCCCTTGTGTATGTGTCCCCCTCTTGAGCTTAGTAAAATCATCTGGTGTCTCTGTAGTCTAGAGGTTAAAATATGTCATCATTTTGTTTTAGTCACAAGAAAATTTTGAGTGTTGTGAATATTTCTCATCTTTTGTGTACAGTCTTTGTTGATTTTCATTGTGTACTGTATATTATAATTCTGGTTCAGCATTGTCAGTGTTTAGGCTTCTTTTTACTTTTACTTTACTTTTATCCTCTTCGCCACTGATCGGCTTGTTAGCCGCTTGGGCGATCGGTCACGTCTCTTTTCATTTATATTCTTCACCAAAAGATTGGCTCGCTCGCCACCCGGGCGATCGGTCACGTCTCTGTCACGCACTGTTGGCAAATACTGAGCATGCACCGGCTCCTGAATGTACCTGAACCCGCTCCAGTGTTGGTTAAGTCTTCTCTTGAAAGAGCTCACACTCGGTGCCGTCACAACACACTCTGGTAGATTGTTCCAAGAGTTTACAACCCTCACTCCGAAAAAGTTTGACCTCACGGTTTTCTGGACTTGCGGCTTCTTCAATCTTGAGCTGTGACCCCTTGTGGGGCGAGCGTCCGCCAGCTCCAAGTAAGGACACTCAACTGAGTAGTGCCCCCTGAGATGCTTATACACCTCAACTAGGTCCCCCCTTGCCCGTCTGTAGTATAAGCTAGGCAAGTTCAGGCGCTCCAATCTCTCAGGGTAGCTGAGGTGCCGAAGTGCAGGCACCAGTTTGGTGGCTCTCCTTTGAACATTTTCAACCAACTGACAGTCCCTAGCATATCTCGGGGACCAGATGGGGTGACAGTACTCCAGATGGGGAAGCACTTCACTCCTGAAGATCGTCACGAGGGACGGACCGTCTACATATCTGAACGACCTTCTTATAAGACCCAATAATTTATTTGCCTGATTTACCTTCTTCTCACAATGGCCCGAGAACTTCAGCTCATTGTCAACATACACACCTGGGTCCTTCTCACACACAGTCTCAACTAGTGCATTTTCTTCATCCCGTTGGCTGCCAGCTGTGTGATATGTTATTATTTTCTTGTGTTAGTTAATGTATTATGGGAGTCCTGTACAGTATTTCATTGAGTTTATCCCATATTGTGGTTCCTCGTGTGTGTGTGTGTGTGTTCCGGAATTGAGTATGGTTATGTTATGTTCTGTGTGTGTGTTACTGTTTGTGTATTTGCTGGTTTGTGCTTTGCTGGTCTTCCGAGGACTATGTTTCGTACTGTCTATCAGTGCCATAGCAATGAGGAGGCAGCACGGGGGCCATTATTAAGCGTGACTCATAATAGATTTGGAAATTTGCTAAACATAAATTATATATTCAGTTCTAGTCTTGATCCAACTAATTTAAAAGGATATTGGCAAAATTTTCCAAGTTTTTATTCATCTCATGTTGCGGAAGATTCACTCTGTCGGGATATAATGGACTGCCACATGCTGCTTATGAATGGCCAAGATATCGCAGTGCTGACAAATGCTGGAGAACTTTTTTAAGTCATTATCATGTATGGCAGATATGTTTTCCCTGATCTTGGCATAGCACTTGTTTTAATGCTGACTATGGCTGTCTCGGTGGCTTGTAAGCCAACATTTAGCCATATAAAAATAATTAAAAACCACCTCTTATCATCTATGAAGCAGGAGAGCCTTTCATACCTCTCATTACTCTCCATTGTGTTCACATTTCTAGAGAGTGTTGATGCTGACGGGATCATAGATATATTTATTTGTAACTTATTCAGTATAGCTTGAGTTGTAGTCTACTAACATTAACCTATTTTAAATCATTGTATATTTTTCATAAGTAAGTTTATGTAGCTTAATGTTGTGAGTTTGGGCAGTGAGTAAAGTTGGGTAATTTTGTATTTTGGTCCTTCATGCCAGACTTTATCAAAAGCTTTTAGACACATCTGTAAGTATAATGCTGCACTGATCTCTGTTGTTGGCACTATAGGTATGTTTGTACCTCTGTTTTTGTGGAATCCATGTTGCCTCGGGTTTTACTATTCAGTGCTTGTGTTCGAGGTATAGTAATATCTTTGTTAGGCAGAATCCCTCAAACCCCAGAACTCTCCGCTAGCCGGAATTGAAATTTTCTCGGAAAATCGTTCCCAAAGCCGGAATTATCCAGAAAAATCCAGCTTTGAGAACGATTTTCCGAGGGGCACATTTTCTGGAAAATTCTGATATTATTTTCCCGGTCTCCGGAAAATTCCGAGAATGGGGGATGAAATGAAAAATTTCTGGAACTTCTGAGAATATTTTTCTGTTACACAAAAATTCCTTAGATGAGCGATTTTTTCCAGCTTTGAGAGAGTCGTCTCGTTATCCGGAAATCTCTCATTCCTGGAAGTGCTCTACACCAATTGTTCCGGCTAATGGAGATATGACTAGTTTGAGAGTTGGTGGTTGATAAGAATTTCCAGAATTTTTCCTGGGATTTTGAGGAATGATGTAGGCCTATAGTTCTCTTCTTGGGTGAAGTGCTTCCCTTATAGTTGGTTTAGTTGCCTCTTTCACTGACTTTTTACCATGCATGTGTCACCTACCATACCTGTGTCACCTACCATATCTCTGTGTCACCTTCCATACCTCTGTGTCACCTACCATGCACCTGTCACCTACCATACACCTGTGTCACCTACAATGATGCTTCATTCTTCGCCTGCAGTGCAGGTAAGTGTTACCCTTTTGGACATTTAGTAATTACCTGTACACACACACATATGGGTCGATAATTTTTTATTGTTGAATTTTTGTATGAAGGGGGAAAGTGCCTCGATAAGTCGGAATTTGGGATAACTCGGCAAGGCCAGAGCCCAAATGTGCCGACTTATCGAGGGTTTACTGTATGAGGGCTGCTACTGCCACCATTTATGAGGGGCTGAACTGCCACCATTTATGAGGGCTTGAGCTGCCACCATTTATGAGGGCCTGAATTGTCACCATTTATGAGGGCCTCTGTGTGCCAGTAACAATTCCTTTTACTCTTATACTTATCACCATTGGTAGCGTGATGATAGGAGGCTCGTGGGTAGATGTAATGATAGTATCAAGCAATAGGGAAGAAATAACGGTAAACACTGTAGGTAAATAATAGACACAGTTATACAAATACAAAGTTTATTTAAACATGAATATGAAATTAGGAGGAAGAATTTGTTTGTACCAACAGACGAAATCTAGTACTAGGCCCTCAGGCTCAACATACTCACACCATTACTGGGTGGACATAATAACACTTCCAACCCTACTGGGTGGACATACTCAATAACACAACTATTATAGTCACTTAGCACCATAAAGACCAGGGCAACTGCCACTACAACACTCAGTCGTCAGGGGTGATACTCAAGCAACAGCCATGGGGTCCAGCCACCATGGAGTACTATCCGACGAACTCTGGAGATCCCAGTGGATTAATTCCACCACACAAATAGCCCTACTGAGTTAGACACTCATCCACCAATGATGGGGGCTGGTAGTTGTGTGTGGCTTGGTGATCCGGGGTCACCTCGCCGGCCGAGCGTTAGGGCCAGACAAGCCAGCTATGGGGGCTATAGGTGGTCTGAAGTGTCTGACGGCCGGGTCTCACGAAGGTAACAGATCCTACTGGACCTCGGACATCTCCCCAGACATTGTGGACACAACATCCTCCCTACAGACACGGCCTAGGCTGCGTTAGGGACCTGTATGGACGAAGGGACGGGCACTCACTAACCGGTGACAACAACATCACGTTTCAGGGGACGTTAAAGACGTAAATATGACTTTACTCAGAGCATATCAACTACGTTACTGTAACACTTGCACAATCAACTATTAATTGGGTCAAATCACTTAAAGAAGGGCAAATTACAACACAGCGTGGAATGGCATACCTGTATGGATGAAGGGACGGGCACTCACTAACGGTAGAAATGCCCGCGGCGCCCTCACTCAAACTAGGCCAGGGAGTCCACCTACTCCTATTCCGATGAATTAATTTACGGTACACTCTGACGTTGAAATTGAGACTATGAACTCATTTTCATTCTCTACTATTATCTTCACTAACAATGCTCTGACTCGGCTATCAAAAGCAAAATTAAATTGATTACAAAGGGTTGGATGGCAACAGGTCCCAGCATACAGCGTCTGCTACTAAATCCGCGGATTATATTCCAAGCTCCCATAGACAAAGACGGGGGAAACAGAGAAAACGGGGGACGTTTCCACTGGGGGACTCAGAAGGTTTTGTGGACGTTTGAGCGTAATATGAATCCTTAAGGTTTTCAGGTTAGCTCTTACCATGACCATTACAACTGTATCAATATATAAGAGTTTTAAACTCAACACAGCTGTTAATAATTTAATTTCTAAGGTTACTGCTTAAACCTACCCGTTCTTTAATCTTCTTAACTCTAGCCTCTTCTGCACGTTTCTTAGCAAGAAGTTGCTGCTTTCTGTGCAACTGTTCTCTTAGTCGCTCCTCTCTGTTCTTTCTATCTCTGTCTTGTTCTTCCTTTGCTTCTATAGCCTTACGCTCTCTTTCTTCACGAGCTTCCTGTACCCGCCTCATCCTTTCCTCGTTGCGTCTGTTATAAAATTATAATAGAATAAAATTAATGACAATTCATACAGGATATCATTAAACCACCCAACACCATGTTGTCCCATCATTCATGCAACAATCCATTTAAGACTTGGATAAAACTTGAATTATGAATCCTAAGAACAGCTCTGACTTAAATATTTCTATAAATTTATCTCCTGACCAACCTTTTCAGCTCCTCTGCTTTCAATTTTAATAATTCTTCTTTCTTCGTCTCATCCTCTCGATCCCTCTTCTTTTGCAGTCCTGTTTGTCGCTTCTCCTCACGTGATGGCTTTGCTGGTTGTATTTTGATGAATGATGTTATTCCAGTAACTATGTTCATTGGGTACTTAGCTTCATTTAGGTCACCAAATTTCTGTAATAAAAAATGATTAACTACAAAAGGTGATCAAGAAGGAGGTAGTGGTGGTGGTGATGAGGTGATGATGGTGGTGAGGTGGTGGTGGTGAGATGGTGGTGGTGAGATGGTGGTGGTGAGATGGTGGTGGTGGTGAGATGGTGGTGGTGAGCTGGAATCTGAAATAAATACATGGAGTTAAAAGAATGCAGTGATTGAGATAATGAAAATGGAACTAGGGTTACAGAGCATTTCACAGAGGGTCAATGAAATTAATACAGTTGCAGCAGTTCGATTAATGAGGGAACAGTGGGAGTAAATTTGTACAAGATATAAATGATGGTTTAAAAGGTAAAAGGACCTTCTGCAGGCAAGGCAAGAGAGGATACATGAATGGATTAGTAAATATTATTAAAAAATGTAATCTGGCAGACTGGTGTACAGCTGTTCAGAAGAGTTGTAAGAACCCACCCTGGGAAGAACGAGAAGTAGAGTTAGACATAGTGCCTCTCACAATGAAGAAATCATTACATGAACCAGGACAGTTAAGGGCTTTATATGGGAATAAGATTAGTAATTTGCCTAAAATAAACACATTGCATGTATATTGTGACGGTTCAGTTATGTCAAGTGGCAGGGCAGGGTGCGGGATCCTTATAAGACAGTACACAGAACAAGGAAATGATGACATCAAAATTGGACTTCGGTTGAGCAGTTTTATTTCATCAACACAAGCTGAGTTATATGCAATGTTAGTAGGATTGGAAAATGTTGTAAAGAGGTATAAAGATGCATATTTTTTTGTTGATAGTAGGGCAGCTTTGGATTCTTTGAACAGTGGGAGTCCAGTCTTTGGACACATTATTGGTTCATGTAGAAAATTAGTAAATACAATAAGGAAAAATGGCCATAATGTTCAATTTGTATGGGTCCCTTCACATGTGGGGATTGGTCTTAATGAAGCAGTAGATATAATAGCAAAAAGAGCCACGGAAAAGGCCGAGATCGACATAATATGTACTAAAACCTTGAAGCAATTAAGGAGCAAATTACGGAAAATACAATCAATAGAAGATAATTTCAAAAGGAATGAAATATACGAGAAAAGTGAAACAATGAAACATTACCATCATGTTCTCATGAACACAAAATTTACATATGGGAAAGATAGGAGTAGGTGGAAAGATTCAGTGTATATGAGATTAAGATTAGGATATAAATATTATTGGGAACTTGGAGCTGAGAGAAGTGAACAGGATAAAGAATGTAGAGTTTGTAGAACATCCAGATCCCATACCCTGCCACATTATATACTGGAATGCCCATTGCTTAATGTATACAGAAATGCCCATATAAATAATGTCCCCATGCAAATAGAGTGGATGTTTGGAAATGGGAAATAGATGAAATATTAAAGAAATATAGAAATTTTGCATCTAGAATATAACTATGTATTATAACTAATTATATGAAATATTAGGGATTTATGTGAGTCCTGAGAGGGACATTCCTGGACTGGGGTGAGGATGACTTATGTCACTTCATCCCTTTGAGATGTATTAATGTTTTTTTGTATCTCAATAAACGTATCAATCAACCTGTCGTGGGCAGGGTGTAAAGGACGAGGTAAATTGTGGGGTAAAACACGGTATAAAACTGATCATATGACACTATAATATCTCTAGGTGCTTTGTACATGAAGGAATTAATTATTTACTGTAATTCATATTCCGAACAAATCTGCCGAGTCACTGTGTGCCTCTGTTTACAGCCGACCCGCTCAGTTGAAGTATACGCTCACATCCTCAAAAAATATAAAATTCACCATGATGTTTCAACAATGATATTTTTCAGTGGTAGCAGATATAAAATAAGAACTGTACTTTGTTTAATATGGCGGTGGGGGCCAGCCAGGCAGTCAGATAAGGTTAGGTAGGTATCTTTGGTCGGTTAGGTCACATTCTATTAGGTTCTAGTAAATGTCGCCGTTTTTAAAATACGTACTGGTATTATTTAAGATTTTGTCGTCTTAGGAATTTAGGTTAGGTAAGATATAGTTCCTGGGTTATTTGGTTAGGTTAGGTGAGATCAAAATCATTCAAAACACTTCAAAACTCTCAGAAAAACATAGGGATGACAAACTGAAGTTTTACCTACATACTATAGTGATAAGAACATATGTGGAAAAACTGAACAACTCCTTCTGGTGGCAGCGGTGTTCTCATACATGACCAAATGTCTCGAAGGGTTCTGAAATAATACTAAGTACTTCTGGTCTCGGAAAATTCTACATAATATTTTATTGTCAATTTCAAACTGTTATAAAACAGAGATCGATCAAATAGAAATAATACTGTAATGATACTACATACAAAATTAAGGATACAAGGAAGGTAAGATGAGATTAAATTATAAATCAATTTGTTAAGAAAACCAACACCTCAAAGTATAACAGTTATGGTGCTGTATAGGCCTAAAAAAATATGTGATCTGACCTTACCTAACCCAACCCGACCTACATTATTATATGTCTATGAGAGAGGTGGGAAATTTCGGAGTATCAGAAGATAATTAAAGAAGATAGTGATAAATACTCAACGTTTAAATAATAGTGTAATGACTAGTCCAGCAAGTATCGCGCATATCACTTTCACAGTTCACACCAACACTACATTTTTTCTGTATTGTGTGTTTATCACGTACGTTTTTAGTTTTAAACGCTGTTTTCCCCATTGAACATGTCTGGAAAACGTTCATCTGTCTCCTCTGGGGTGCCTTAAGCTAGAAAGGCACGAAAAACAATCGCAATGGACGTGAAATTAATTGTGATCACCAGCCTTCAGAGTGGAGAGCGTGTCAGAAGTTGGCCGCGTGCTTGGTTTAAGTGAGAGCACTGTTTTTACCCTGTGCGGTATATGATGGTTCTCCTAACTTGTACCATTTACTATTCTTATGGGGAAATTTTTTTAAATTTACGCATTTTTTAATTAAGCGGTGGTTTTCAAGAACGTAACCCCTGCGTAAAACGAGAGGTGGGTGTAATAGTAATATTATGAACAATCCAAGCTGGTCCCAGTCAAATAACCGATAGTTATTTGGCCAGCTGGCATGGTCAAATAGCTGATGGTTATTTGGCCATCAACAGTCTTCCAAACACATGTTCTTATAAACATCACTGTCCAGATTCATGAGCCTATTGTCTGTGTAAATCCTTTTTGTTCTTTAGGTACAATAGGATCTTAAACCTATTCTGTGAACAGTATACATGATGAGAATCATATTGTTGGAATGGAATCCCGTAATGTGGGTTTTGATACATTTCCAATTTCTTTCAAGTAGTATTGTTTAATAAGTGAGGTGTATGTTCTTGTACTTGATTTATTTGTGCCGTCTTTTGCGGGTTGTTGTTTATCAACTCTCAAGTTATCTGCCGGCCTGTTGTCAGGTTCATAGAGTAATTTGTGTAATGAAACCATTTGAAAATAAAACCAGTTATACAAGCGAACACTAACTTTATTCATTATAATTCAGCTCACAACATTAATTTATGCATAAATCAATTCATAAATTATTAAACTACACACATATAGGTACAGTAATTATTATCTGAGTACAGCCACTCCACGACTTACGACCTACCCGACTTACGACCACCCGGACATACGACCGCCCCAGTCGTACCAAAAATTTTTCAAATTACGTATTTTCGAGTCCCGACGTTAGTGATTGCGCTGTGTACTGACAAAATTTTCGTTTGTAATTCCAGTTAAATGGCTGGCATGCTTAAAAGTGAGAGTTTTCTGGTGCTGAGAACAAAAAGAGAGACCCATTTTAGATTTTCTATGCATTATTTTTGCATTTTCTACTTCTGATTAATTTCACTTAAGACCTGGAATTGGGTCCTTAATCCCGTCGTAAGTCCGGGAGAGACTGTATTCCATGTTGGCTAATTATTGAAGAATGCAATATACTGTACAGTAGTGGACTACCAGTAGCTTTTAATATGATTACACAGCTACATTTTCTTGGACCTTTCAACACACAAGCCTAGGTTGGAATTAAATATTTCAAACAATTACAATTACCACCATCATTGATGAATAATATTTCACTTTCCACTGATGAAGGTGGAGAAGAAAGATGTTTGTTTGTAAGGAATATTGCAAATGTGTTCTTAATGGTTTTCAACTCGTCTAAAGGATTCCATCAACTGTAATGTCAGGTATCTGTCCATTTCAGCCCTGACAGTTGAAGTTGTTACTAATTTTTTTTACTTTTAGAAGAACTTCTTGGAATTGATTTTGGTGCTGTAGACTGTGAATGCTCTCTGTTACTAACTGGTCTAAACATTTATCAAAATAATTGACACAGAAGTCATAAATTCTTACAAGACTCTAGTTTCTGCACAGGAATGTATAGTCACACCCTTCCTCCTCTTGTATAGCTGACCATGGCTGTCTATGAAATCTGTTCTTCATTGTTGCCTTAGTGGCAGTACTATACTGCCTAACCCAGAAAACTGAACACCTGCTGATGCTTTGGTTATGAACGTTTGAAGTAACTTGATTTAAGGGGTTATCTTGTAACAGTGCATGGGCTTTTACTCATCTTTCATGCCCTGCCAACTCTTGGCAATTTATGATCATAGATAGAGAAAAAATATATACAGTATAGTCTGGTTTTACGCTGTTAATTAAACCCGTGGAGGTCCGCGTATAAAGCGAAACGCGTAAATATAATACCAGAACATATGGGATTAATTGAAATAGAGACTGGGCCGACCACCAGACTACCCTTTTTTGGCTATCGCCGACACAATACTGTACATTGTAGTAAAAATATTATAATTTTCTGTGGCCAAAAGTACCGTTTTATTTTAAATCCCAGTCAAATAACCTGTGGTTATTAAGCTGGATGCTGGTCAAATAACCCCTGCCTATAATATAATAGTTTTACAGTGCAGTGTTGTGTATTATACAGTACGTATAGTTATTTATCTTATTTCCAGGAAGTTTCAAGGACCAACAACACATCTCGGTATGACAAGCTAAGACTCGACTATACAAACTGATGAAACACCTCTGACCTGTGGGACAGGCTCATTTGTGATGCCATCAACAGCAACTGATGAAACACCTCTGACCTGTGGGAGGTGAGACTTATACAGGTATTCTGTTACTTAACATCATGTTGTCTAATGCTTGTGTTTATGTACTGTACAGTACTGTAGTATTTAAAACATAAATTACGCTGTGCCCGTAAATTATAAATCCTCTTTATATGCCTTTTCTCAAGAATATCGGCTAACTTTATAATTTAAGCATTTTATCGTTCACTTTCCAGAAAAGAAAACATCCAGTAACAGTATTCCCAATCAAAATTGCTGACCCCTTATCTTGTGTTTGAGTACATGGCATAGATTTTGTTTAAATTTCATACAAAGATGCTCTTTTATATGCTGATTAAGAATCTAGATTAAAAATACACAATAGTGTATTCCTCTGAAAGTGTGCATTTATGTAAATGTTTATAAAAGAGAGTGTGTGTGTTTATATGCACTTGTGTGTGTGTGTGTGTGTGTGTGTGTGTGTGTGTGCGTGCGTGCGTGCGTGCGTGCGTGCGTGCGTGCGTGTTTTTTTTTTTGCATAAATATTTGAATGTGTTTTAGTGTAAAAGTGTTAGTGTTAAGTATACAAGCAGTTGTGTAACATCAGGTATAAAAAACAAATGTCAAGATTAGTTATTGCTTAAACTTGACTCAAATTAACCTAATGGCCACCCACTAGAGGTGGTCATTGAATTGAAGTGAAACAGTTTATTAGCCAGAAAAACACAGATACAGAGTAGATAATAATAACAAAATTAACATGGCTGAGCCAGTTGAGAACCTGAGCTGCACCTGATATATACTATACATTTATCTCAAGGAAATATAATGTAACATTTAGTATCATCCGGAATAGTACAATAACATGGTGATAATTAGAACATCTCATAATGTTACCACGGTTATCACCTCAATATTTATTTATTTATTATTATTATTATTATTATTATTGTTATTATTAATATAATATGATATATATATATATACAGTGACCCCTCCGTTAACGAACTCAATCCGTTCCAGAAGGTCGTTCGTTAACCGAAAATTTAGTTAACCGAAACCATTGTTTCAATGGGTTTTTGGGTAATTGGTTCCAGCTCACCGAAAATTTCCTAAATTCAACAAAAATGGTAGAAAAGTTCACTTACTTTGAGGTGTGTATGTAGAAGGCTCCTGGATGATGATGATGATGATGGGATTTAGAATGGGGGTGGAGGAGAAGGAAAAAGAGAAGGCATTGGGGTGGAAGAGAAGTCACCCCATGGTGCCATTTCACCCATAAAATTTTAGCTCTCTTGGTGTAATTCAAGATTATTTTCTTTAAATCAACACTGCACTGCATTATATATTGTCAATATGTAAAATATATTTCAAAATGACCAATAATTTGCTTGGAAACACAGAAAAAAAGCATTTAGTTGAAGAGAGTCTCAAGCAAGATGTTACCTCCAGTGAAAACAGAGAGAGACTAACTCCTGTTTGCTGTGTTAAGAGGCTGGATGCCGCGCATTAAACTAGTCACTTTACCTTCAGTTATGTTCAATAATTGTTAAAATGAGTAAAAAATTTAATATTAAACTTAAAATTATTGAATAGTATAAACTTCTTGATATTTACTAAAATAGTAAGGAATTTAAGCCCTAGAACCGATTAATGTATTGGCGGACTGATACTAAAGCTGGTTGCCCGGTCACTGCAAGCGAAAACATGTTGAGGTCGGTTCGTAAGAACTTCGTAAAACGAATTTTTTTTCGTTAACCAAATTGAAGATCCTTATGGAAGGAAGTTCGTTAATCGAAATTACGTTAACCGAGGTGTTCGTTAAACGAGGGGTCACTGTATATATATTTGTATGTGTGTGTATATATATATATATATATATATATATATATATATATATATATATATATATATATATATATATATATATATATATATAATATATATATATATATATATATATATATATATATATATATATATATATATATATATATATATATATATATATATATATATATATATATATATATATATATATATATATATATATATATATATATATATATATATATATATATATATATATATATATATATATATATATATATATATATATATATATATATATATATATATATATATATTGGTATATACATACCCCCTATATACATAAATTACAGTGAAATTGAAGAACATAAGTATAATGGGGGAGCAGTACAACATGGGTTGTACAGTAGTAAGGTTGAACAAGAGGACAGAGCTGTCAGGATTATGTCTAGTTGGCAAACACAGCTACTCCTCGACTTACGACCACCCGGACATACGACCACCCCAGTCGTACCAAATTTTTTTAAAATTGCATATTTTCGAGTCCCGGCGTTAGTGATTGCACTGTATACTGACAAAAAAAATTGTAATTCCATTTAAAATGGCTGGCATGCTTTAAAGTGAGAGTTTTGTGGTGCTGAGAAGAAAAAGAGACACCCATTTTAGATTTTCTATGTATCATCTTCGCATTTTTTACTTACAACCAATTCGACCTACAACCTGGATTTGGTTTCCTAACCCCGTCATAAGTCGAGGAGTGGCTGTATGTTTATTGCAATGATAATTTCCGATAAAACGGTTTTGATGGTACAATAAAAGCTGGTATTGTAAATATACAGCTCCTCCCCGACTTAGACGGGGTTACGAACCCAAATCCAGGTCGTAAGTCTAAAATGCTTAAATAATACAGTCGGCCCTTCACATACGCGGGTTTAGCATTCACGGAT